AATGACCCTCTCTGTCCGTGTCTGTGTATTCTCTTGTTCCGATTAACCCAGCCAAATCTTTGTTCTTGTTTTGTATCTATATCTACGCCGGGATCCGGAGTCGAGGCTGATCCTCTTGCTGTAGTCCTGTGTCTTGGATCCTCTATCCTGAGTTCTGGATTAAGTCGTGGACTTCGGGTCGTGGCTGAACCTGTCTCTGCGGTCCTGCCTTGGGTCTCGTCATGCTGCTTCCCTGATGGCTTCCACAGGATTGGAGCTGACATCCTCGTGGATTCATCTTCTTATTACAGACTCATGCATTTCCTAACATTCGGTCTATATGCTGTAAAATGTATTATCTCTAATAGTTGTCTTTGATTTATTCAGCCCGGTTGTTGGCCCGGAAAGAAGTTCGATTTTGAGCCAGAAAAACTGTGAAATAGTACCCGCTAGCCGGAACTACGCCAAGTGGAAACGCAACCAAAAACGAGCCGGGCACGCTTCAACCGCGCTGTAGAATCCAAACGCGGCCCCCATGTGGTTTAAAACCAGAGGAAGTTGAATATTTTCTGTATTTATAAAGTGTTTCTCGCTCAGTCTGACCTATGGTCAACAGCCGCCTCCCTCAGAGCGTCTCTGGCGACCTGCGTTGCTTTCCTCCAGCCGGCGATGATGGTCTGAGGGTGGATCTTCTTAGCGATCAGCAGCTCTGCTTCCTGTAACACACAGTATTATATACAGGGTGAAATGAGGCGAGAGAAATATGTGAAAACATTTGTGGAGGAAATTCTTTAGAGAAACTGAAGAAAGTCAATATAAAGTTAAATGGATCTCAAACGCAGGAACGGAGCCGTTCTGCTTAGTCTCACTAGAGAGGAGAGAATATCCAACTGGTCCTCTCTTAAGCCTCGTCTGAACATCCCCCATTAATCCCCCTTTACACTTCTGTCTGTTTTTGTTTGTTCTTCTTGTGTGTCAGTCATCCAATCAGAAGTGCTGTGCTCCACATGTACCAGCCATTGTTAACCAATCAGAAGTGGCCCATGATAGAAGGTGATGGACAGATTGATCCAATCACCTGTAGGGCTGCAACAAATGACTAATTTGATAATCGATTAATCTATCGATTAATGAAACGATTAATCGACTATTCGGACTATTACTGTACGCCTTGCACAATTTCTCAAACGCTCTGATTTAGCCATCAACTTTTAGATGTATCTTGAGGTTGTTTCAGGCATGTGGAAACTAACAAGACAATACAGATGAATACTTGATTCAAAAATACTATTAAATTAATAATTAATTAAATTATGAATATTATTAAATTAACTAAACACATTTTGAACAAAACTAACATTGCTTTTTATTTTTAATTAAATGCATAATATTTCACATCAAAAGAAACAACAATGTTTTAGCAAATATTAAATAATCTGATGACTGAACTGTAAACAGAATAGCTGAAACTTTAACAAACTAACTTATTCAGTTTCCTCTAATCATTAACCCATGTTTGTATCATGTAGTTAACTCCGTGTGTTGCTGCTAGCATACAGAACACCTGGCGTGGAAACGTTCCTCGTGGACGGGGCTACAGAGCTGCTAGAAAGAGTCGAACCCGGTGCATTTCTCCGTCTGGATGTGGAGCACTTTTGATAAATGTTTAGACACACTGCTCGTGTTCCCGCCCTCACATGCTAAACTCTTATTCCACTTTAGGTAACGAGCATCGAGACGGGTAACATTTAACCACCTCGGAGCGCGTTCTCTCCGCCATCTCCTCAGTGTGTTGCTGCATGTAGCAGAGTGTGTGTAAACGGCCCCGCCCCCTCGCACACAGACGGGGGAGAGATCTCGTCTCGATTGGAAAGATCGAAAATACACCATAGACGCATATTTTTGTCTTTTTGCACATTAGAAACGAGTTGGCGAAACTAAGACTGCGATATAATGTTCTTGTAGCAATAATACATATGACATATTTTTTAAATGTCTCCAGTACCGATAAAAGACCGATAACGTTGGAGCTTAACGGCGCGTAAAAACACACATGATGACGTCACCAACGAATCGACGACTGAATTAGTTGGCAACTAATTTGGTCGTCGATTTTAATCGATTAGTTGTTGCACCCCCAATCACCTGCCAAGTATCTTTGAAAGTGCCTGCCCTTTCCAGATGGCTTCCAATGGAGCTCTCCTTGATGGTTTGGTGAACCATCTGGGTCAGGTCAGTAATGCTCCATCACATGTTTCTATCACAGGGTGAATCTTAAACTGAAGCTCGACTTTAAAGCAACCCAACAGAAGTTTCATGTAAGTTTAGTTCTTTCACTCGTAGCTCGGCTGCTAGAGACGGGAGCACGTTGATGCGACCTTCCTAGCCGGAGATATGGCCGCATTTTACAATAAACTTCCGTTGGGTCGCTTAAAAACAAATATCGCAAATCGAATCACAATGTCTGTCAGAAAAATCGCAATTACATTATTTCCCCAAATCGTGCGGCCCTGCCTGACAACCTGCATTATTAATGTCTGAATAAAGAGTGTGTTACCCTCAGCAGCTCTGCAGCGAGAACGGTGACGGAGGTCGTTCCATCGCCAACTTCATCGTCCTGAACCTTAGACATGTCTGAAACACAAAACCATTTCATTCATGTTTTATATTTAAATGTACATGAATAGTTACTGAATAGTTACCAGGTAGAATTAGATATTTAAAGTGTATTTTACAGGGTTAAATGTAGCTTTAATGTTCCTTAAAGGTAGGTAGGTCATTTTGGAGAAAGCAGCTCGAGTGGCTAGAATTTGAAAATACACAACCAGAACAAATCTGCCCCTTCCTCACAGAGCCCCTCCTCCAACACACACGAACGCGCACATGACCAATGAGGGCACGAGATGAGTTTGTGCCCAGATGGAAGGCTGACAGGCAGGTAGGCCATCCAGTTACTTTAGCCGGCTCAGATGATTGGTCGTGCTTTTACAGCGCCACGGCTTCAAAGCACTTCAGATATTCATTGCTATCGGGACGTTAAGAGCATTCCATGGAATATAACAACAAGTGTATCTCGAGCCGGTTTCTCAAACTTACCTACCCCACCTTTAAGTCGACAAATGATTATTCTCGTTAGTTAATAGTTTAGCCTATTAAGAAAATGCAACTTCGTGGAGCCAAATGTGTTAATTAGTTTATCAAAACGTCAATTAGCCCCAACAAACATCTTTACTCACCAACCAGGACTTTAGCGGCGGGGTTGTCGACGCCGATGGATTTCAGGATCGTCGCTCCGTCGTTGGTCACCGTGACTAAACCCTGTTTCCCTCCACCCAGCAGGATCTTATCCTAAAGGGAGAAAATATTATTAAATTATATAAAATATAAGTTAGTTTATGGAGGCAGACGTTTATGAACAGACACGATTAAAAATTGTGACGTTTTTGCTTATTTTACTGACTTTTCTAGTTCAATATCACCCAAACTCCACATGGAAACCAATATAATCAAATACTATAACAATTGTAATGTTATTATATCATATATTATAAAACTATAATCAGTTTTGGTGATTTTTTAAAAGCCGTACCATCCCCTTAGGACCCAAGGTGCTCTTCACCAGATCTCCGATGGCGATGGCGCCGATGAAGGACGACTGCAGAGAAAACACACACAGATTAAACAAACAATTCAATATATTTTTTTAAAAGCTTGTCTTCTTCTTTAGCTTGTCGAATAAATAGATAAAAGCCCACCAGTCGTGCGGTCTCAGCTTTCTCTTCATCTGCTCCATTTTTGAAGATGTTGATCGGGGCCATCGATAGGGACGCCTAGACACACAAAGCAATCAGAAATAAATCAAAAATCATCAGAAAATTGTGTTTTCTGGATTTTAGTCAACGTTAGGGACGTCCCAATCTGTTTTTATAATGTACTACTGCATCGATTTGGATATAGAACTTTTTTCAATATGTATTGTCGTTATATATAGATTTTTTTTTAGGGTTTTCTTCTTAAAAAATGACTCAAAATGATAACTTTAATTATTTCAGATTCACTTACTGACTAATAGACATAGCTCTACAGTTTAACACAAAACAGCATTACAAATTAAATCATCATACGTGGTTACTAACTTGAATATAAACCATCTGAAACCAGCTTAATAAATAATTTAAACAAGTATTAATCTTAATTTTCTATTGTTGTTCTTTTATTTTGAGATGTTTTCATTGTATAATTGTTTATTTTCTACTCTTTTTTATGTCTAATAATGTGCAATACTTTGTTTTACATGCTGCTGCAACCATCTCAATTTGGGATCAATTAAATAAATCTTATTTGTCTTAATGTACCGTTTCTTTTTGTAAAATATTGAATTTTGTACAGTATTTTTTAACTTTTCTTAATTTCAATGCATTTGTAATTTGACTCAAAATAATGGGGGAAAATATAATTTATGCACAATTAGCCACTTTATAGGATATGTTTAATACAATACTAAATGACGGTGTGATTTCTCTGTAAGAGTTTGAATCAAACAGATATGTTTCTGCAGACATGCGACACACCTCTGCCGCGACACAACACTTCATCCAGAAACAGGATTTGAACACAAAGAAACAGTACAGTAACATTGCATTACTCCATATTTAGATGTGTATACAAATAAACAATGATCTGTTCAGCTTTAATAGTTTGCATGTTAGCAAAAGTGGCGAATAAACGTGGCTTTTTCCGCCTCTTTTAAATGGAAGAACTCGTTATTCCGAGCACCAGTGAACGCAGCGCTGCACCGTTAGAAACACCTAGAAGCTTCCATCCAAATTGTTAAATAAATTAAAAAACACAAAAACTGCCAAGACCGTAAAGCTACAATTAAAGTCAGTTATAAGTGTACGTTGTGTGTAGATTTAAATAAACATGATTTATACTGTTTCTTGTGTTTTGTATTCACTACTGCATGTTCTCTTGACAGCCACAAAGGCAACAGGACAAGCTAACCTAGACTAGCATGCTAACTTAGCAAATCTGAGAAGAGCCACAATAAGCAGTCACTGAAAAAACACCCTAAAACAACACAGTTAAAGTTGTATTAGCTGTAGCAAACAGGACAGCTTTAAAACATTTTCCAGAATAAAATGCAAGTCATCGGAGGCTTATGTTAGCTTAGCCGTTAGCTTATTCATTAGCCTCCATGTGCTCACCGGCAGCCAACGGGAAGCTAAACATCCTCTAAAAACTACACACACGGACTTTTTCAAGCGGTTTAACAAACTCTCTCTGACTTTAGCTGCTTATTCGTGTTCAGTTGTGGTTTGTAAAATGTGTCTTAAGGTGTAAAATACAGTAAATAAAAGTAAAAGCTTACCATGATGACTGTGAAAGCAGAGCACGCAGACAGAAGAAGGGCTGGGCAGGGCTGTGACGTACTTACGTAAATAACGTGATGCTGCGTTCAGGGACGATCTTGGAAGACACAGTGCTACAACTGTTAGAAATGTCTTCCTTTTTTTGGTCCTTTGTTAACCAGAAAAGAGCTATGACGTTTGTTTTGTATACAATATTGGTTCTTATGCAGTTTCTATAGACTTCACATTATCACATAATACAATAATAGGAGTGTATACATATATTAATTTACATACACTTTCACACCAAAGGTCCATGGCTAATAAATAAAATAAGATATTAAAAATACAAATAAATACATACAATTAAAAATGTAGCCTTACAAGCTAACGAAATCAAACACACAGATTTTAAATGTGAAAAAGAATTAATAATTGATAGAATGTGTTCTTGTTGAGACGATTCATCAAAAACTCCAGAACACATATTATGGAGATATTTCGATTAGAATATATAGATTTGTAGACTTTTACTAAAAGTTCTAATACTCTTGGGACTATTTGTCAGAAAAGACTGTTTCTATATGGACTCACAGCATTAAAGGACGACTTAAATGGCATCAAATCTGTCACGTTAAGGTTTATAACTTGGATTTTGACATAGAGATGTGTCACTGAGGATAAAACAAAAATGAGAGATAATTGACAGGGAGGCAATTACTTTTATTTTCCAGGTAAAAAATAACACAACAATATTCTCTACATATTTTTCATCTCCTCCTCCTGCGGCCTCTCTGATTGGCTGCCTGCACAGGAAGGCAGTAGATGTGCATCGGGAACTTCCTGAAGTAGCTGCTGACCCAGGATCTGTGGGGAAATAAGATATATTATGAGATAAGATGGAATATACATTTAAATACAGGGAGTTACCTTGCTTCAAGATTCAAGATATTTTGTTATCATATAGTATTTCCAAATATAAGCTGACATACATTTAAAAAAAATGCTGTCCCAGAATAATAGTGCATGATGTAGTAAAATATAAATATCAGGGTAGAGTATGGTGTACAAATATGTACAAGAATTGATATAACAGTATAAATATGAAGGTCAGAGGATGTGCCCGATAAACATTCATCTAGTACAGTGTGTGTGTGCGTGTGTGTGTGTGTGTGTGTGTCCACAGCTAAGGAGGGAGTTTATGTTAAGATAACCAACCATGGCTCCTTAAAAATATACATTTATATAACTGTAATATGCCTTAAACGGCCTTATTTTGTGACAGTATTGAAGTATGTATGTGTGTGTGTGTGTGTGTGTGTGTGTGTGTGTGTGGTCTAGCATTACTATACTTGTGGGGACCTAAATCTGTTTACATAGTCATGTGTGGGGACTCGCCTCCCTTATGGGGACAAATTGGAGGTCCCCATAAGGGGGATCATTCATTTTAGGGTGAAGACTTGGTTAGGGTTAGGATTAGGGTAAGGTTAAGGTTAAGGTTAAGGTTAAGGTTAAGGTTAAGGTTAAGGGTAAGGTTAAGGGTTAGGGTTAGGCATGTGTTGGTTATGGTTAAGGTTAGGATAAGTCTCCAGGAAATGCATGTAAGTCAATGTAATGTCCCCTGAAGTGATGTATACATGGTATGGTGTGTGTGTGTGTGTGTGTGTGTGTGTGTGTGTGTGTGTGTGTGTGTGTGTGTGTGTGTGTGTGTGTGTACTTGGTCACTCTCTGGCTGAGTCTCAGGTAGCTCAGGTGTGTTCTCAGCTGCTTGTTCTCCTGCTGATGGAGGAACTCGTCTTCCTGCCGACGCTCAACGTCCAGACGCACCGACTCACGGAGCTCCGCCTCTATACAGGTCAACTGGAACACACACACACACACACACACACACACACACACACACACACACACACACACACACACACACACACACACACACACACACTTTTTCTTAATGTTTCTTCCATGTTAGATCGTACTGTCGATGTTTCATGCTATCTTTCGTGTCATTGTGTTCTGTAACCCTTTGTCCAGCACGTGTTGTTGTTTGTGTTGCTTACCATACCTTTGTAGTACTCTTGGGTCTCTTAGTTAGCCACGTTAGCTCGTATTAAAGACCACAACAAATATAAGTAATTCCCAAATATTAAAAGTTAAAACGTTACCTCGT